CAGTCGGTGAACCGTCAGTCCTCACCAGGAAGTGGTGCCTGTGAGGTCAAATGACCCAGGGTGCGAGGAAACTTGATCAGTTTTGTGGCCCTATCGGCCTGGGAGCAATGAAAGGCACATTGAAGATTGCAAAGTTGGTTGAGGGGCCGCGTGATGTGTTGCAGAACGAATGTTCTGGTTGGGGTAAAAGCTGAGAGTTCAAAGTACAAAGGCCTCCTTAGAGAGAAGAACCGCCCTTTCTGCTGGTCCGAATGAAAAAAGCCAGGTCCTAGCTTGTTTTCCACACATTCTTAGATTCTTGCTATTAATCTGTTAAGTTTAATTCCTTTGACTCCTGTAGAACCTCAAATGACCAAACAACCCGGAATCTGCTGCCATGGGTCCCATGAGACACATGTACAAGCCCTGATCTGGCATCCAACCTCTATCCCAAGGTTCGTGCTCACGCAAACTATGGGCGCTTAAGCATCTTAAGCCGCCTTTCTCAGGAAAGCACAAGGCCAACTACCCTATATACATGATGCACTTCACTCAACGAAGCTCTCCTCTTGCTTTATCAGGAAACCCCTGAAGTCGCTCCCTGAAGTCGTTTCAACAGGAATGGAAACACAAAGAAAGGATCAATTGCCATGCTGTCCAGCGGCTACATTGCTGTCGAATTTGAGCTCGAGTGTGGCGAAGGTTTCATCAAAGTGAGCACCAATGAGGCGTGGTGGAGTGGTTCTAACCTCATCAATACTTCCAGCAAAGCATCACCAACATACAAATTCTGTCTTTGAGGTCGCAAAGTTGGTCGAGATCACAACGACATACCTAGAAAACCAAACATGACCAATGTTCATTTTGCAGTGGGCTGTGTATATGTGCGCACTTTGCCCAGAAACTGCTGCGTGTTTGGATTCGCAGGCAGCTAGCGTTGGCAAATTAGACCGTGCATTGAGAGATCAGGCGAATCGACGATCGCGCAAAATCTGGGGGGGGGCGGCAAAGAGCCAATGCAAACAGGTTCACGATAGCCAGCCCAACAAATCTAGCGCAGGGTGGCGAAAACTGGCTCAACACCGCCCTCACCAGTCTTCATCAGAACTGTAGACAAATGTACACTAAACCGAAGCACCTGAGGCAGGCAGGAGCACAAACAACAAACATTGCACAACGCGTGCGAGAATCTATGATCAAATGACAACGAAGGTATCATGGCCCGCACCGCCGAGTCCCCTAATGCAAAACCGCTAAATCAATGGCAATGCATGTGATCATCTTTGTAGCCCATGATCATGATCACACATGTTGTCAAATCAGAATGCGCGTGCTACCATTTGACAAAGGCAACCAATGAGCTTAAGATCTTAAGATCTTCACACAATGCGCGAGCTTTAAGCCGCCAGCACAAACAGAGGCGGCACCGTTGATCTGCTTTTCTGTAGTTGGAACCTCCAAAACAGCTCAGCGTCCGTGAGCCCTTTGCAGAGCTCAGTCTGAAAGAAGACTGAAGTGAGTAACAGAACAAGTCAAACCAGCACGTCTGTTTGTCCCTTTTTCGGGGGTCAGCCACTACGAAATAGTTGGTAGTAGCTGGACGCACAGAGTTTTATGCCTTTGGTGTTCAAAACAATTATGTGTGTATGTATATAACATCATACATATATATATATATATGTGTGTGTGTGTGATCAAAGGGAACCTTAAGGTTTGGAACAGGGGGCTCGTGGACGCATGGATGGCACGAGCCAACGAAGACCCATCCATGTCGTCGTGATACCAGACCTGATCAGTCTGGCGTACCTGCAGTTTTACTTGAGACACTTCATCCTGGGCCCTGCTTTTAACTAGAACAAGCACTCCAGCCTTTGCAACGGTTCTTCATCCGCAGACTCTGCACGTTCCGTCGTCCTTGTCGCTCGATCGTTTCGCGATTAAGATTTGAACCGCTTCATTTTACCCACCCTGTTTTCCTTAGGCTTTTTACTTAGGCTGGCGTGTGGCGCCGCTATCAGTTCCGTATGCATATCCATAAGTGTGTTTGGCCTCGCGCCAACCCGGGATGAGCCCGCAGAGTGCCTCCGTGGACCCGTCGAACGGGGGTTTGTCGCCGTTTCCCTTGCTTTGGAAACGTAAGTGCCCACAGCAAGGTGGCCTAGGCCGAAAGTACTCCGATGTTTGTCCCAGCTTTGGAATTCCAAGTTGGCTCATGCCTTTACGTGACCGCAGCGGTCAAAGCAGCCAGCCATCTCGGAAGGGCACAAGGTGACCATAGCGGTCAAAGCCAGTTTAAGGTTCATTGGAACCTGTGGAGAACTTAGCCCCCCTTCTCCCCCTGCCCTCCCCCTTTCTCTCTTTGCTTTCTGGTGTTTTCCTGAATGTAATACTCAGGATCTCCCCTTTCTTTCTTTGGTGTGTCCCTGGACGATTGTTCGTAGCTGGGAACACCTTCCTTTCTCTCCTCTCCCTTTCTCTCCCTCTCTCTTTCTTTCCTTCTCTTTTTCCTCTCCTCACCCTCTTTCTTGGGCGTCCCTGGATGCTTTCGTCATAGCTGAGAGCCCTTCCTTTTTGGTGTGTCGTTGGACGCTTGTGCCGTAGCTGGGAACACCTTTGCCTCCTTCTCTCCCTCCTTCTCTTTTCCTCCTCCCCTCCCCCCTCTTTCCTCGCGCGTGGCGTATTTACAAGCAAACTAGGCTTCTGCAACAGGTTTCTCAATGAGGTTTGGACTGTCATCGGTTTGTCCCCTTTCATTTGCTTCCCCTTTCATCCGCCCCCACAGACGTTTTTCCCTTCTTTTCTTTCATGTCCTTCTGTCTTCATGTCTCTTCATCCTCATCCTTTCTTTCTCTTGCGCGCACTATCGTCCGGACCTTAGTTTGTACACGTACACGCACGCGTACTCTACTTACAGCGAGGTTTAGGTGGCCCAGGTTCGTTACAATGAGGTTTGGCTCATCGGTTGTCCCTCTTCACTTGGTTCCTTTTCATCGGCAACCACACACACCTTTGTCTGTCTCGTCCTTTTCATTTTCATCTGCCCCTTTTGCGCGCACATGTGCCTACCTCCTTTCCGGGCAGGATGGAGGCCACACATGCCTCCCTTCGGGGAGGCGCGTGTGTGTAACCCTTGGAATCAAAGGGAACCTTAAGGTTTGGAACAGGGGGCTCGTGGGCGCATGGATGGCACGAGCCAACGAAGACCCATCCATGTCGTCGTGATACCAGACCTGATCAGTCTGGCGTACCTGCAGTTTTACTTGAGACACTTCATCCTGGGCCCTGCTTTTAGCTAGAACAAGCACTCCAGCCTTTGCAACGGTTCTTCATCCGCAGACTCTGCACGTTCCGTCGTCCTTGTCGCTCGATCGTTTCGCGATTAAGATTTGAACCGCTTCATTTTACCCACCCTGTTTTCCTTAGGCTTTTTACTTAGGCTGGCGTGTGGCACCGCTATCAGTTCCGTATGCATATCCATAAGTGTGTGTAAACAAACATCAACTCGGTCCACAGCAACTGCGCGACTGCCTGCTGCAGCTCCACAGCACCCGGAAGGAAACAACCATAGAGGGGCTCGACCTTCCGAAATTGCACATATTGTAACCCCTTGTACACTTTCAGCAACCTCAAGTTGATCAACCGTGTTGAATTTGACATGTCCACAACACAAGGCAACTGAGAAATAAGGAGAGTGCAAGCATACTTAGAAATTCTCTCTCCAGCACTTTACAGCTCGGCGTCCGGCACGGCAATCTCCAGTGCAGCCATCATCCCCACGCTGGTTGCCATCATCACAAGCCTTGTTGCAAGAGTATCCCAATATGTTCAAAATGAATGACCATCCTCTCCAATCTTGCCTATGCTACCTTACAGTAGATGTTGTTTGCTTCGCCTGTCTAATCAATTTAGTATGTTGGCAGGTGCTTCTTCTACACATGCTGGTTCTTGATGTCCTCCCTGTCTGAACATTGTTCCTGTACCATGTGCTTATACCCTTTATCTCCTTACCTGGCCAGACCCCAAGTCTCGCCTCGCCAGCCACAACCAGGCCATCACCACAAACTGCTTTGCACTCATCACCTGCGGTGCATTCCACAGCGCTACCTTGGCTTCGGCATTCGTCTCCACAGCGCCTGGAGCAACGCCAGGATCGAGATGAGTCGGCCCCACCGCGCAAGTCCAGCCTCTCAAATCTGGATGCATGAGTGGAATACCACTCAAGCTCAAGCAGTCTGTCACTCTTGGGCACTAGCCAGACTCCACTCTGCAGGTTGGACTGCAACCATCTCCAGAAATATTGTTGCCATCATCACCTGCTGACCAGGGGTAAATTTCTGTACTAGTCACATCTATTGACATGTCCAACGCTATACGCAAAAGCGATGGATGTCATGATTAAGGATTGTTTCCCAAAAAGAGAAACTGAGAGCTGGGCACTCTTCTCCAGGCGTCCGTCGGAAGTCCCCACAAATCTTAGGCAAGGGGCAGCAGGGCACAAGAACTTTGCAGCTTTGCGAATGCAAAAGGGTTTTTAGGTTTGTACAAACGACCCCACAATTTGAGAGCTGGGCTGCTTGATTCAGTTTGCGGCATTTCAAGCATTGCCTGTCCATCAGTTTGACCAAGCCGGAAAGCTTGATGGATTTGTAACAATGTGTTCAGTATGCAAAGCACAGAACAATTGCACACGACCGAGCACAGGAGCACAATATATAATAATAGAGCTAATAGAGCCAATAGTGGAGAGCTATCTATAGCAAGTCGCCGTAAGTTGTTGAGCCACTCTCAGTTTCCAGCGGCTCTTGGGAATTGTTTGCTGGCTGGTCATCACACTCCTGCCCGCCCAAAAGGATCCAAAAGGCTCTTCCTACGCAAGCCAAGATGTACGCTCACAAGTAAACACTTGAAGAATGACAATAGAACATCTATGGAACTCTTGATTTGGAACCTCATCCACAGTGTCCTCATCAAAGTTTTGAATGCCATCTCCACAGCTCTTGGTACACTTGGAAGCAACACCTCTATGGCTCAGCAAGAAATGAATGCGGGTTTGGTCTTTCTGGTGTCAAGCCTGCACTTCCTGGAGAAGGAGCCTTGGTGCAGTGGTAGCCTTCTTCCACCTGCCACAACCAAAGAATTGTAAATGTGGGCATGTGCAAGTTCAAATCAAGCGAAGGCAAGGCCTGGCAAAATTGGTTGCACCCATCCCAAGGAACAAGGTTGCCATCATCGCAAGTCTCACCGTAGACCTGACGGGGCTGCACCTCTCCATCCTAGAATTCACGGTGCGCTCACTGAAAATCAAGGAAGCAAGATTATATGAGATAAAATATGTATATATATATATACAATATGTGCTCAGAGTAAAAGCGCAGCAACCCACGCAACGTGTACAGTAGTTTTGTCCCAATTTGATTGGTGCTCAAAAACTCGCCTCAAAGCCATCGCCACAAATGGGCTTGCAGTCAGACCTGAATTCGAACAAGTGCATATTATTTTCAGTGGTCAAGCTACTCCACACATAAGCCAATGGCGGTAGTGACTGCGTGCCATTGCAGCATTCAAAGCCCGGTTCCGGTTGACAAGTGGATGAGCAACCATCCTGCAAACGAGCTCGCTATTTCCTATGCCACCACACAAACTCACAGTTCGAACTCTGCGATGAGTTTAGCTCACAGTTTGCTTGCCCACTAAATAAGCCTGGGCATGAACTTGCTGATTTAGTAATGGCAACAACTGGCATCTGTTGAGACGTTTGCAAAATGGGCCAATCTATAAACAAGTGGCGTGTGCTTGTTTGACACTACTGCTTTCAAGCATGACCCAATTTTCGCATCACAACGCAACAGCGTGTTAGCATGTTAGCACAACCCGTGCCAGTGCGACAATATGTCAGCACGACAGCCTGACAACGTGCCAGTGCAACACCACGCCAGCATACCAGCGTAACAATGGCAGTCATGCACGACAACATGTCTATGTCTATACTCAACATTCCGTCAGCTTGTCGGACACCTCAGCCTGTCAGAGGTTATATCATGATAGCAGGTTGGGAAAAGCAGCAGGGAAGTCTGATGTCAACATGTCAGCAAGCATGACCAAAGACCTGCATCGTGACGTGTGAGCATGATACGCCGTCATATGTTTCGAAGGGCCCCAGTCTCCAGACACAAGGGACTGGAGACAGTGGGAGACAAGTGTGAAATCAGCGGCCAGCACACCCTGGAGTGGGAGACAAGTGGGAGACAAGTGTGAAATCGAATCATGCGGCCAGAGCACCGGACTGGAGAGGAGACAAGTGGAAGACAAATGCACAATCATGCGCACCGAAAAAAAAGACTGGAGACAGTGGGAGACAAGTCGGAGACACCTAAACGAGACTGAAGGCAATGGGAGACAAGTGGGTTGACAAGTGTAAAATCGGGATGTGCTTAGCAATTGTTAGGAAGAGTGAAGCACCAAACCAACCCGGAAGGAAGAATCACATCACCAGTAAATTGCCCCCTGCACACCAGACACGCCACTTTTTTAATTCTCGCAACCCTGGTGTGCAGAGAAAAGCGGGACCAGCACAGCAAGCCAGACACAGCAAACCAGCCGTGCAAGGGTGGTAAAAAGAGGAAGCCAACCACCCCCAAACGTACCTAAAAGGTCGCAACGAATAAGCACCCCTTCAAAAAGGAGAGGGCGGGCGGGGTCAAAAAGAAAGAGAACACAGCCAAGCAAAGCCCCGTGGCGGAGGTTCACACAACTGCCAACAAATGTTGCCCTACTCCAAGAGCAACCCCACTGGGCTGAACTCAGGCATTCAAACAAAATGGTGACCAGCACTTCAAACCAACAGACTGGAACAAATAATTGCAAGCAAGTCCCCGTTTGTTGTACGCTCGCGTACACGTCCCATGCGGCCAAAGCACCCACAGCAAATTGGAGACGGTGGGAGACAAATGGAAGACAAGTGTCAAAATCATGCGGCCAAAGCACCCACAGGAGATTGGAGACAGTGGGCACAAGTGGAAGACAAGTGTAAAATCATGCGGCCAAAGCACCGCGAGTGGAGACAGTGGGAACCCCTTGCAGGTAGACCTGTTTCGGGAACAAAAAAACTTAAAGTTTTTTGGAATGGGTGAGTCGAAAGCCAATAGAACTCAGCATGCAGAACCGATGTACACGTTATCTTGAATGCAACCCCAAGTTTTCTCTTGTTTTAGGTTCTTCAAAGATTGGAAAGCTGATTAAGCACTTTGACAGTTTGACTTGCTTTTTCTGTATCACCAACTTATTCAACATTGCCTCCACCAGACATCTACTCACAATTGGTGCAAACCTTATATCGTTTGCAGAAACTAACTTGAGCCTGGCCTACCGACTGGCTTTCGTGATGTCAGTGTGCGACGGACAAAATGCAAAATGCTGACGATGCAAATGACGATGACAACCTGATCCCAGTTGTTGCCATCGTCACAAGCTTCTGTCGCATGTTGGCGACCATCCTGAGAAGCGGAAGAGCAACATTCTCAAGACCATCCGATTTGGCTGGTTGAGGGAGTCAAAATAGTTCTGGGGCTGTGTCCCCGCAGCTCACTTGGCAAACGGAGCGAAGAAAGAAGGCATCGTAAGAACACCTTCATAGCACATAAGAGCCAGGTTTTTCGTGACGGTCTCTTGCTGCTATTGACACTTAAGCCACCGACTCATACATTGCCTCCACCTTGACGGTTGCACTGACAAAAGCGTGTTGCCCCAGCATGATGTTTAAACTCCTCGGGAGCCATCATAATAAAGGACTGTAAGAATAATTACAAATTACATCAATATTAATATTGGTCATCATTGGCCAAAGCACCAGAGCTTTTGCAACATGTTAACAGTCTTCTTCACCCAGGGCCAGGGTAATACGACTGGTGGGAAGTAGTCCGTGCAAAGCCTGACTTGGAGTGCAAACAAAAAACATGGAAACATAGTGAAGGCAAAAAGGGTTTGCATAAGTGCGAAGAAGGTCAACTGGAGGCAATGCTGGGCAAGAAGTTTTTGCAGGTGAGAATTGCACTGGAAGAAGGAAAAGGTGTTGCTCACATTCCGGTGAATCAGGAAATGGAACACAGTCTGGCCATGTAATTGTAGTACATGTAGTCATCCTGGATCCACCACCCTGCTACTTTGGTCCCGGTCAAGCTTTGCGCTTCTGGGTCTGTTTGGTGGACTGTTGCTGAAAGAAAATGCCGGTAGCTGCTTCCCTTTGGGGCTGTCGCATGAACATTGACATATTTACCTATAAGCGCTCATCGCACACTGTTTTGTGGCAAGAACTCTGAAACCTCGGCCCTGCCTTGCAGTCTGGACTGCACCCATCACCAGGCCTTAGACATCCAAGCTTGTGTTCATGTACAAGGCCTCTTCTGACCTATCTGCGAGCCCCGGCTGGTTGTTACCGTCGTCACACTCTTCGATAGGTGTGATGAGCACTCCATCTCCGCAAATTGGTGTGCAAACCTGTGAGGTGGAATAAGAAAACAGGCAGTGGCTCCGAGCATGCGCGGGCGGCTAGCATGATGCGGATGAATGACGAGCAGAACCTTTGGCAAAAACGAAGCAGCACCTCCATGCTGGGGGCTGCAGGCCTTTCACATGTCCAACCTCAGATGCTCTTTGGAGAGCATAAAGCTCTTTGCAAGAACTCCCAACCTGCTCGAACTTGACAGGTGGAAATATCACATCCTGTGCGAGGAAATATGAAACAAGGCTGTTGCACCCCAATCCCGCAAGGATACATCTCAGTCCTCGAGATGGAATTGGGCCAGTGTCGCACGCCTACAAGCGCTGGAATGATTAGCTTCGCTAAATGTCTAATTCAAGTGATGGATGTTTGAAGCATGGATTCTGGTATATCGGATTCTTGACTATAGTTTGTCGTGGAAACAACCCGTCCTCGCGAGGCAACAGATTCTTTGGGGCCTCTCCCTTGCAGTTTATCCTTCGTGGATCTTCTCCACTCTGACACAAGAGGTCCATGGCGACGCAATAATAGCGAACCTCTCTAACTGAATACTGCTTGGCCGCTGATTAAATGGGAGGCGGTTTGGGTATATTAGTAAGGACAACAAAATGCGAGGCAATTGATGAAGGAAATGACAAGGACTCAAATGGCACAACAGTTACAAAAAACATCACATACTTTAATGACAAATCAACACGCGAGAAATGACAAACCAATTCAGCAGCCTCTACAAACCCTCCTATGATGCAAAACACATGGTTTGATTAATCATTAATCTGACAAACCTAGCGAGGGCAAGCTCATACTGGAGGAGAAATGAGGAATGAAACCGGATTTGTTTGATGAGAGAAGGCATGAAAACTCAACTGGCTCAGTACGTGCGCAAACACTCGGCGGCCTCGAGCTTGTCTGCTAGAGTGGATGAAAAGGCTCGATCAACCCGGAGTCCATCTCCGCAAATTGGCCAGCATGTGTCCTCATGAGGCAAGGTAACAAGTGAATATATACTAGCGATGTGAGTGACAAGCACAAGCTACTGATAAGCAGCAGTTAGTGAAGAACTCCGTCGAGAGAAGACTCCAACAAGTCTTGCCAAGAGATTCTCTCAACTACATCCGTGCTAGGTCCGCATTGGGAAATGCCTCTCATGGCCCCTCGCGAGTCCAAAACAAAGAATGTTTAAATAAATGCATGCTGAATGCTCGATATAAAGCGCTAATAAGTGATATATAAACCCTTAAAGGAATGCCTTGCCTCAGTAACTCTTTGCCAAGTTTCTCTGCTGTTTAGGCCACCGCCAGAACAGGTGAAGCCCCTCAAGTTCAGTTGTTTTCGTGTTCATCCAAGTCTTTGCTCCTCGGTTGAGTGTTTTTGTTTGTTTACATGAAAAAGCAAACGCTGCCTCTCAACCTGGCAGTTTCTTGAACAACCATCTCCACCAAAGGAATTCCCATCATCGCACTCCTCGAGTGATGCTACTCAACTTTGGTGCGTTCTTCCGCACCAAACAAAAAGATGCCCACATTATTTTTGTCAAGTGCGGTTCGCGAACGATCCTCTCGTGGACCACGCACACCATCCCCGCACGTAGCTCGACAGACCTAAAGTGACACTTCATGAATTCAAGGAGTTGCAAGAAGAACAAAAAAAGTAAAAAAACATGTCCAAAGGCCACGGGTACAAAACAAACGAAGTTGAAAATAAAAAGTCGGAAAACCCCCCATGTCAAGTTTTCCTTTGCATCAAAAGGCAGAGCAAGAAAGCAGGCGGCAACAAGCCATAGCAGACGAGGGGAGATGGGTTGGATGGTGTCCATACGTGTGTGTGTGTGTGTCAACACCTGTTTCCAAGGTTCGTGCCTGGTAAGTATGCCTGCCGCAGGTTTTTACTAGAAGGCAGGATGCTACTAGTAGCTCCGGGCCTTGCTACTAGGAACAAGAGGCCGCTAGAACCAAAGGCATCGCCACTAATTGAAAACGAAAAGGCAGGGATGCGAAAAACAGGGGGATGCCGGGGATTTCCTAAGAGTTTTCCTCGTTTTGTTCCAGCAGGGGGCGACAGGGTCACTGCATAGCTGTCGCCAACGAAGCTCTATGCAGATAACCAGGATGCAGGGACTGATCATCCCTGTGAATTCTTGACCACGCTGTCTAATTTGCTCTTTTTGATTCCATGGTTCTTCATGCTACCACCCCAAAACAGGTTTCCAGGTTTCCCTCTGCTCTGCAGCCGCTGATCGCCGCTTTCATTTGAGTTTGCTGTGAAACTTTTGTTAAACAATACTTTTCCACGGACTCTGCCACCTTTCCGTTCCATCGCCATTTTCCTGGGCTAACTGAAAACCAGTGTCAGAGTGTGAACCGCTCAGTCGTCCCACTTGGGCGCTGGGTGTGATCCCCGTCACTGGGGCGCTGAATTCATGCCGGACTTTCACTAACAGCTTCCTTCGTTTCCACCATTCGTTGAGTTCTCTTAACAGACTTGGTTTCGCTACTGAATTAACTGCTTACACGCCGCCGGTCTCCACGGAATACCCTTCAGATTCCACTCGTTGAAATTTTCAACAGCCGCCAGGCTTTCACGGAGAATAAACCCCGACGTGTTTTCTACCCCAAACACCCCAACCCCTCCCACCCACTAATTAGGTTAACAGAGGGAAATGGTATTCGACACACTTGTGCGTCGGCGCCTTTCCCTCTTTTGTCCCTTTTCTCGTCTACTCTACCCGGGCGGTTTAAGACTAAAGTCCCGCTCCCTAACTATTGCACTTAATTCATTTCTGCTAAGTAATCAATAACTCTAGAGTGCTAAGTATTCAGACACACACATGTACACACACACATGGACATACACCCCCTCCCTGCCCCCCGCTTTCCTTCTTGCGTTTTTCGTCGTTTGTTGGGCTTTCTTTCAGGCTTTTTATATGGTTCTTGAAGTTCGTTTCCCTACCCCAGTCAAGGGCTAAGTATTCACCTTTTTCTACGCCTATCTTTCTCTCCTGCCCTTTTAGCGCTGCTCTTTCTGTGTTTCTTTCTTTCTTTTCTAAGGCTCTTTGGGTTGCCTATTTAGGTTTTATGCCAGAGCGCCGCAAAGCGGCTGAGTGTGTTTGTCACACTCTGTATCTAAGAGTTTTCCTCGTTTTGTTCCAGCAGGGGGCGACAGGGTCACTGCATAGCTGCCGCCAACGAAGCTCTATGCAGATGACCAGGACGCAGGGACTGATCATCCCTATGAACTCTTGACCACGCTGTCTAATTTGCTCTTTTTGATTCCATGGTTCTTCACGCTACCACCCCAAAACAGGTTTCCAGGTTTCCCTCTGCTCTGCAGCCGCTGATCGCCGCTTTCATTTGAGCTTGCTGTGAAACTTTTGTTAAACAATACTTTTCCACGGACTCTGCCACCTTTCCATTCCATCGCCATTTTCCTGGGAATTGAGCTAACTGAAAACCAATGTCAGAGTGTGTGTCAACACCTGTTTCCAAGGTTCGTGCCTGGTAAGTATGCCTGCCGCAGGTTCTTACCAGAAGGCTAGATGCTACTAGTAGCTCCGGGCCTTGCTACTAGGAACAAGAGGCCGCTAGAACCAAAGGCATCGCCACTAATTGAAAACGAAAAGGCAGGGATGCGGAAAGCAGGGGGATGCCGGGGATTTCCATGGTCGGCATCCAACGAAGACACCATGGGTTTAGTGTGACATGAGTCAGGGGCGCCTGACTCACGTACCTGCATCTTACAATTTTGCAAGCTGTCCACTGCAGAGTTGCAGCTGTTGTGAGCAACGAGTCAAGGGCTAGCGCGTGTAAAGCGGGACTTCACTCTGAACCTAGCTCTCGCGAGCAACCGTCCAAGTGTGTGTCGCCACAGAGTCCCACTGAGGGCTGTGGTGCGATCCCCGTCGAGGGGCGCTGCATGTGCATAGACCCAGATCATGGGGGGCCCACCCTGAATTTCCGTCTTCACTCTTGGACTTCTTTTTGCTACTCCTCGATCACCTGCTCTGCATGATACCACTGATACTACGCCGCAGGGCTCACTGAGATCAATTCCAGTTCGGATTTGCACTTAGGTACACGTCGCAGGCTCACCAAGCTAGGTAGCTTTTTCAGTTGCATGCGCTTGTCGTGTTCTTGGGGGTTCTTTCTCTCTTGCTGTTGCTTTTCGTTTCTTGAGGCCTTTCTTTAGGTTCCAGGTGCCTTTCAGACAAGGGCGCGCCGGCCCAAATCGGCTTTGCTTGAATGTCAGTGATGGCA